AGGGAGTTTTGCCAAGATTTAGGGCCTTCACTTTCCCCAGAACACATACCCCACATATACCAGTAAATCTGATAAAAAGCTAGTCAGTCCCCAGGGCTCATTCAGCAGATAGATAGCCAGGGACATCGCCAGCATTTGCTGGGTTTTTTTAGCTCCAACTGGCTGTTAAATGAGACAAGATTTTGTTCCTTTAATTTGGAAAAATACCTGTGATACAAGCAATATCAGCCTGGAGAAAAATAAGGCAGTCATGGCTTGGGGCGTGGCAGACAGCTGGACTGTAATCTTTTCAAAACAGGGATCATGAATAAAGTGTCTAGCAGACTTGGAGCACTGCAACTAATGATATTCATTGCAGCTCACAGGATATGTTCGCTATGAAGTTAGTCAGTTGGAGGTTACTTCTAGAGTATGTGACAGTCAAGAAAAGGAAGGGGCTTTGCAGTCCTATCTCCTGAACACATCATCATTTACTCCTGAACCTACTTCGAGCTTTGTCTTCACATTCTTGTTACAGCTATGTTCAAAATCAGGGGAAGCGAATGCATAAGCTTGGGTCCCTAAGGCAGAAGAGGGGTGGAAGAGTGAATGAAGCCACTCATCCTAGGCTCCATCTTTGCTAGAGGCAATGAAAAGCACTAAAAATTACTCAGCCACAGGCCACAACATCTTAACGGTGCTTGTACACATGACAGGGGTTTAGTCCTCAGAGTTTCATTCTATGAACCCTAAATTGAAATGGTGTTTTTTTAATTGAACCCCACCATTACAATTTTTCCATCATGTTATGGCAAGGGGCCCAATCCTTTGTGGGGGTGAGGTGCTGATGGGCCGAACTGCCCCTGAGCTGCGGGGTGCCCTTGTCCTTCCCTCCGCAGCAGCAGCGCTCCTCAGGGCCACCCAGGCAGGCTGCTGCGGGCCAAGTGCTGCCCCAACTTGAAGGCAGGACCCAGCCCAATCCAACTCTTCTCCAACCCCAAGCTGAGGCAGCACCCGGCTCACGAGCCGCCTGCCCACCCAGGTGGTTCCAGAGGGCGCTGGTGCCACAGAGGGAAGGACCAGGGTCCCCTGCAGCTCAGGGGCCACTCGGCCAGCAGGTAGCTGGCCCCCTGGCTGTGGGAGGCTCTGCCAAAAAAAAAAATAAAAAAAGGATCGGGTCCCTCACTGCTTCTGCCTTCAACAGGCTCCTGCAGGCAGCAGGACACCTGGGGCTGCCCGGGAATGGGCTGGCTTGTCCCTGGGGCAACACAGAAAGGTGGCAGGAGGGTGGCTGAGTTTGTTGGCAGCCAGAGAAGGAGACAGGGATGGCGCATGGGGTGCTGGAAGCCCAGGCCATCTGCCATCTGGCCAAGTGCTGCCAGTTTGGAGGCTCCTCATCCAACCCCTCCTTGAGCCCGCTCAAGCTTCCAGCATCTGGTGCACTGTCCCTGCCGCCTACTCTGGCCGCCAGCAAACCCAGCCAACCTGCTGCCACCTCCCTGTGCCGCCCCAGGGGCAACCCAGCCCATTCCTGGCAGCCCTGCATGTCCTGCCAGCCACAGAAGCCCACTGAAAACAGAAGCAGCAAAGGGCACGATCCTTTTTTTCTGTAGAACCTGCCCACCTCTCCCACAGCTGGGGAGCGGGGGGAAGCTGACAGCCGCATCATTGCAATTTGCAGTGTTGCAAACTAAATTGCATTAGGATGCAGTTTAGTTTGCAACTATGCAAACTCATTAAAAAACCCCAACACTCTTGCATGTGTATAGTGTGACACTATTAAGCCACACAAAGTGACCTTTTCTTCATGTGTACATGGTAATGGCGTCACATGTACAAGTGTCCTAAGGAGCATGTGTTATAGCTGAGGTGAAGTGCCTTTCTACAGGAGTGTTAGCAGTAGAAAATCTTGAATGACAAGCTGGGGCCATTCACACTGCGTTGTGTTCCATAGTAGCAATTGATTCACTGATACTGCTTCCCTGGCCCTAATAAAAGGGGAGAGCATGGAACTATTTAGCTTGAGCTGAAGTATGCTTTTGACATAATTAGCTGCAGGGTATTAGAGAACAAAGCTCATGGTGAGATCTCTTTGATGCTCCAACTGGCTTTTCAAAGCTGTTTGATGGAAAGTAACTCAGCAAAGTGGAGACTTGAATTATCAAGTCTGTCCTAATTGCAGGCAATGAACTGCACCTCAGAGAAAACTGAAGTTTCAGGGAGCAGTGGAGTCTGACTTGTGATGCTGGAATTAGTCGTGCCCAGGTCTCTTCTGTTTTCTTTGGCATTCCTCATGTTGGACTTTCCCAGTTTTCCCTGTGCACTTCACTAGTTTTTCCCTCCACCGTCTGTACCATTCTTGAGAATGGAAGTGGTGTCAGTCCCTAGAGCAGAAGGTCCCACTCCACCTCCTTTTGAGGCCACCAACATCTTAGAGGAGCAGGAAGACTTAGCTTAGCCATGTCTCCCTCCTGATCCTCTCTTGTTCCATTTAGTCCTTCCCCATGCTCAGTGGAGGATTATTCCCCATGGTCTACTCATCAGCATTTTCCCTCCTCCTAAATGATACAGAAGCCACCATTCCATAGTTTCATGCATCACAAACTTTTTTGTCTCATTAGGGAGCAACGGGAAAATTGGCTGGAAATGTTCTGACCAGCTCTGGAGACCTGATTTTTAATCCAACACCAGTTTATTTTATGCCTTCTTGGAATATCTCTGAACAGATCAGGAAAAACAGCATCCGTATGACCTCCTGGTGGAGGGTCATTCACTTGACAGTCACCTTCACTTTTGCATCACTCAATTTGGGAAAGTGCAGCAGGCCTGACACCTAAGGCCAACAGCAGTGATGTTTTTGATCATCTGAGGGGACACCGACCAGAAGCTGGTGTTGGGTTTTGTGTCGTTTGTGGACCTTATTAGACTTTTGGGTAGTAGAGAAAGGAACTGATTTGACAGTGCTGGAGAGTGACAGGCTCAAGTTATCCTCAGAACAGGCAGAGCATGGGCAGCAGTAGGGCTCCTCCTACCCAGTCCTACCAGTGCGCTGCCTTACCCACTACCTGGAGAGCCAAGGCATTAAGCTACAAAGGGTACATTTGACCTCAGTGGCCCAGATGAAATACTCTGGCAGGTTCTCTCTGCTCCTGTGAGGTTTTTCAGCAGTAATTCACCTAGCAGATAACAGTGACTTTGAAAATGAATTATGAGACACCCCCCACCCCCCTCCTTAAGCCAAAAGCTTCCCTCTTCCAAGACAGTAGTCACAGAACCGCTGTCAGAAGATCATGTTCTGGTCACTAATGACTTATGCTGAATTCTTCTTCAAAGCAAAGACATTTTGGAATAGTTTTCTGCAAGCATTTGAAAGCCTGGAGGATATTTCCTGAATGGTCTCCAAAGTCCCAGACCAAATTATTTGTTGGAGAAGTAGTGAAGGGCTGTTAAATTGTTCTCTCTTTTGGGAGCATCGAAAATGTGAAGAATTTCTGTTTATTTATGAAAAATATGTATAACCTAGTTTTCCCTTTCCCTTTTGTACTGATACTTACTAGGGCTGAGGGAATCCATATCTACTCTGGAGCAGAGGGGGAAAGCTGGTGGGCATGTCTATATTGATCTGAATTAACATTAAAGAATGTAGTTATCTCAGACATATTATGACGCGTAAAAACTGGACCATTCATTTCATGTCTAGCAGCTAAGAGATGCAGAACATATGAAAACAGCATGACTAGACTGTGAAACAAATAACTAAAGTTTGTGGACACTGTGATAAAAACACTAAGACCTAATGCATTGAGGGAGGTGAAACTTGGTGCAGGTTGGACCAGAGAGGCAATATAGACACATGCAGAAGCTTTGCTACTCTTGCCTAATATATGTCATCTTGTTTTGAAAAGACTGTCTTGAGTTGTGGTAAATGTAGGCTGGCTGTTGGGCTCCCAAAGGGAAAGACTTGCGAGCAGGAATTTAGGTTTTTTCAGACTTGCTGAAATAGCCACCTTGAGACACTAATGGTAAAGCCAAGGCAAGGGTCCAGGCTTGGAACACCAGAGTCTTGGGGCTTTCCTGTGTGAAAGATGGAGTTGTAGGGCCTAGCACTAAAAAGAGTGTGACCCCTACGAGATGTATGAAGACCAAAGGCAAGCGTACTCTGTGGAGAGAGGCAGAATTGCCCAATAAGCAGAAGGACAAATGGAGGGTTGTATTAAATAGCTCATAGATGTGGCAAGACATCTCCTCATGCCCCAACCATGCCAAGTTCCCCCCCATCTGCTGTTCTTAGACCCTACTGGAAGACTGAGAGACAGCTGCACTATGAAGGTTTCATGATCCAGATGGGCTGGCATTTAGAAAGTCCCACTGGCAAGTCATGCTAGACAGGAGTGGCTTGACATTCAGAGAGGCATTAAACAGACAAGTTTCTTTGGGAGAATCTGATATCTTTTATTAGACCAACTTAAATAGTTGGAAAAAAATGTTTAGCAAGCTTTCAGGTTTAAAAACCCTTTGTCAGACTGAGGAAGTCTCTGCAGTTTGTGTGTGCTCTTCCTGAATGGAGTGAATAGTAAAGAAGCCAGAGGTTGGTCTGCATGCAAGACAGGCAGTCAGTGAGGATGTAAATTGAGGAGTCAGTGGGTGAGATGGGGGTAAGGAGAAGAGGGATAATGTAGCAGTTAAATAGTGGAAAGGTACACCAACTGCAGAGACTTCCTCAGCCTGATGAAGGGTTTTTAAGCCCGAAAGGTTGCTAAAAAAATTCATCCAAGTATTTAAGTGAGTCTAATAAAAGATATCAGATTCACTCAAAGAACCGTGTCTGCCTATGTCCTTAGACCAACGCAGCTACAACCCATACCCCTGTAACACGGAGAGGCATTAAAGCATTCTGGCATTAACAGAATTAATAACACAAAGGGGCCCTTTGTGACGTCATTCTCATATAAAATACGCTCAGGGAAGGAGGAGAAGCCTACTGTAATGCTGTTTTTAACTGTCTTGCTCTCCCTTGGCAGACTCTCTTAGGATTCATCCCAGGCTGGACAGCCACACCTGCCCCTTGGGACAGTTCCCCTGTGGCAACCTATCTGTCTGCTTACCCCAGCTCCTACACTGCAATGGGGTGAAGGACTGTGACAACGGTGCTGACGAAGAGAACTGTGGTAATGAGCAAAACGCGTAGCCTTCTGGCTCTTTCTTTGCCTTCTTGCCATTAGGAAAATGTCCTGCAAAATAATGAATTGTTGGATCTGGAAACACCAAGATCCAGGGCCTTCAACATATTAGAGTTGTTAACGCTGAATTCTTATTTATGCAATCGAAGGCGTTACTCCTCCCAAAATTCAGCCCAGGAAAGGATATTTAATGGTGGCAGGCACCTCTTAGCAGGGTGTTCACCTACAGCCTAGCGCTATCCCACTGCTAAAGTAATTAGTAGAAAATGAACAGACTCATTTAAGTGAAAACCACAAGAATATATTATAATACTAACAGATAACAACAACAATAAGAATATATACAAGAAATATGTTACAGTGGTGAGTGGAAAATTAGAGAGAGAGAGAAAACAGAGAGACAGAAAGCAGCCCCTTGTCCATGTACTTGCAGCTACGTGGCTGGACCCACACAGGCAGCTTCACTGACACCAGCTCTCAACTGCTGTGCTCACAATTAAGTCTGTGAAGACTCCCCAGGAGATTTCCCCCTTTTCTAGGTACTCTTTCTCCTTTGTTAAGGGAAGGGTAATACTTCACCATTCACAGGGTGCTGGCCAACTAGTACGGTACTGGTCTGTTGCTGGAACCCAAGTGGTTACTGGGGACCCTTGCTCCACCCAGATTACACACACAACTACAATCCCTTCTCTCCTCAGAGGCCCATACACAGATCCAAGCTCTCCACAGACATTAACCCGTTTGCACGTCACCACACACCTCACTTTCCGAGACTCACTCACACGTGGATCCAGAGAGGCTCACCACCCGCAGACTCGCACCATACCACATATACAGACTCGCAACTCACTCCACACACACACCGGAGCTGAGCCCAGACCCCTTTATGTCCCTAAATCACACCACATATGCCATCCAATCACATCTCTAGGGCTCACGTCACTCATCTGCTCAGCCAACTGATGTGTCCATCAATCGTCTCTTCGAAACAAACTGATCAGTTCCTATGCTCTAGGCCAATCATTGTTCATTCTATCTCAGAGATGTTTGCCACCTTTTTGGCACCAAAACTCCTGTCATTAAGCCCCTACTGTGCATGCTTAATATATGGTAATGGGTCAGTACCTTATTAGAGATAGAAAGTTCACTTATTCTCGAGGCTTCAGGACCTTTTATTCACAGCACTTGTGCAGACTTTATCTATGTAACTTATTACTCAAGCTTCTAAACTATCACATAACTTGCTAGTAGGCCAGAGGATGTACTACTGTGTGGCTTGCAGAGTAGATGCAGCCCATTGAGAACATGCGGGCCTGGAAGACTGCCCATAGACTCTTTTAATCAGGTTATCCTTGAAGTTGTAAACATGCCAAGGGTCTAAAGGTCCTTCTGGCCTTCTAATGATCACACAGAAGTTTAGATAAAAGGGTTATCAGCCAGGGATCACCTCAAGGCTGAACGTCTTACCGCTGGTAATTTCAGTGGAAGGATTCCCGCACCCAGAAGCAGGAGAAAGCCAAGGGTGCAGTAGGATCTGGGGCTTGGGACCTGTTGTCTGCTACTGCTTCCCATCTCACAAACACATTGGCAGGACCTGATATAAATTAGAGGTGGCCCCAAGTCACATATTATGGGTCTGAGGCAGAGTAGGAATGCCCTGTATTTCAAGATAATTGGATCTGGGAGTCTGTTGTGGAACTCCAAGTTCAGAAACCAGGATCAGTTCAGATGCTAAACTCCCTCCTTGTCTAAGCATGTCCATGATGGGTTTTCACTTTAGACCCTGCTCTCAGGTCTTTGGCATAAACAGAAGGTGGTTTCCTGAGTTAGATTCAAGAACTGGATTGGGCTGAGCAAGGTTGGGGAAAACTGGGCACAGAGGAGTAAACAAGTAAGAAAGGGAAGTGCTGGACAAACCCACTTGCTTCCCCCCAGATCTAACTGCTGTCCTTGCTGTTTCTTGTTGCAGTGGATAACAGTGGGTGGCTGCAGATCCTGGGTGGCATGCTCAGTACTAAAAGCAGCAAGGCCAGGAGGGAAGAGGAGACCATGGACTGCAGTGAGTACACTCCTCACATTGCCTGTCTGCCATACCGTAGCAGAGCATCTTCTCTCTCCTCATGATGCTACTGCCCCAACCCTTCTGCGCCTCTCCCTGCAGCCTCATTTGTGTTCCCCTGATTTACTTTCTTTCACTTTCTCTTTCTCGCTCCTTTTCACCCTATGACTCCAGTGTCACCTTGTGACTCTGCAGGGAGTTGTCAGCCCTTGGGGGCTTGTCTATACCGTGATAGCAGCATGTTCCAGGAGTGTCTGACTGAGCATGACGTACCCACCTGAGTCCACTGATGAACTGAAGAGCCAGAAGTTTGTCAACAAGGCTGCTCAAGCCTTGTCCCCAGTGCCTGGCTCTCGAGTCCTTGGCCTCCAGTGAGCCTGAAGCTGGCACTGGGGATAAGCCTTGAGCCTCCTCATCCATGAACTTCAGCTCTGGAACATGTCAACAGCACTGGGCAGGAAAGACTTACCCAGTTTCATCCTTCCCAGGACTGCCCACTGGCATGGCACAGGCCAGTCCTGGGAACTAGAGAAGTCTTGCTCCAAACTCAGACTGAGCTTTGCTGTGGCTTGGGAAAGCTTGGCTTGCTTCTTTCCAGCTCCCGTGCATATGACCCAGGATTTATGCAGTCCCTGATTCTAGCCAGGACAAAATATGCTGAAGTACCTCAACCAAGGGATGTCCTCATGAAATTCTCAGCCCAGACATGACACCGTTTATCCCTCCCTTCTCTGCTTTCATTTCCCCTCACACAATCTGGCCTCTCCTTTCCCACCCCTTCTTCCTAGCCCTCCCCAGTTTTTCTTTAGAAGCCTCTTGGCCATTCCCTTCCCTGGGACTTACACCTCCGCATGCCTAATCAGCATGGTACCACCTCTGTGCACCTGTGTCCCTTGGCCTGCCTATCTGCATGTCCACACATTGTCATCCTGTCCGTCTCCAGTCTCAGACTGTCTCCTGTGCTTGTTCCAGTGCTTGATCTCTTCCCAGAGCAATGCCAGTGCTGGGCGAAAAATATAGACTGCACCGGCCACGGCCTGCGCACCGTCCCTTTGGTGTCCTCCAATGTGACAAAGCTGTGAGTAATGGTGGCCACCACAGGATAAATGTGTCCCTTTCGGTGTGAATGGGTGGGAAATTCGTGCTGACAGTTCACACTATAACTCTGACTGGGCTGGATAATCACAGGAAAAGTGCCATCAAGTGGTAAGGCTGCAGGGGAACCTTGCTCAGGGATAACGGGGGAGATTTGTGCCAGTCACCTTACTAAGTTATCTGGGTGTGCTCACTGGAAGAACGTGTCTTATTGATCAAGGATGCCCCTGATTGAAACCCCAGGTGATCAATCTCTACCTTCCCCTAGCTTCCACATGGAACAGTATATGATGCAGCTGCCAGGAAGAGAAGCTGTAGAGATTTTCAGTTATTAATAGCTGGGTTGGTGCCCTGCAACTTCTAAGCCTCTTCTTGCCAAAACCCAGGATGTATTTTCCCACAGTAGATCCAGTTACAAGTGTCTTCTATATAGAGAAGATAAAGATTAATATGAATTTCCCTTTCTTTTCCTTGTGTCAGGCTGGTGCATCTTTACTTGAATAGTTAGAATTAGTTAACTCTCCTGAATTTCTGCAGCCCCTCTCCTCTTGCAATGAATATGGTACAAGTTCTTGTCACAGTCCCATGTCCAAAGAACCTTAAACCTAGCTTTAAAGGTGTGCATGCCCAGGTTTTGGGGCCATTTGCACCTTTAGCATCTCCCTGGCATGTGCAAGTGCTAGCATGAGCCCTGCATCACCACGCCAGACAACTGTCTTCTCAATCTAGGTACACACAGGTGCCACCTGCATAAGTAACTCAGTGAAGCTGGAGTGCTCAAAAGGCCCAGATGTACTGAATGATGCTGGCAAAGTACTGGTAAAAAGGTTTTGTTGCTACTGTGACTGCAAATGCAAGTCTTGAGCAATCGTTGGCTTGCAAGCTACTAAAGAAGACAGGAATTGCTTTACCAAGAGAAGACGTTCAGGGGCAAGGAAGACATGTAATTCTAAATCTGTCTCTTTCTAGTTCCTGTATTTGTCCCTGATTTGTTTCCTCTTCTCCCTAGGGATCTGAAGAACAATAAAATCTACCTGCTGGTGGACAACCAGTTTGTTGCATACAAGAATCTGGAGAAGCTGTAAGTACCACCCTTTGGAAGTACAGTATAGACAATATGTCAAGTCAGCAGCAAGGGGCTGTGTATAAGAGAACATAAAGCCATGAAGATTCTGGCCTCTTTCATGTAACCAAACCTCTGTGTCCAGAGATAGCAATTTTTCTGATTCTAGTAACACCCCAACCATTTTCCTGTGGTAAAGCACTTGCCATTGGAGGTAGACAAGCAGAATATGTGAGGGCTGGGTAAGCCCTTTTTTTGCTGCTGTTCTTGAAGTCATTTGTGGGCTTTGCTTGCCCAGTGCCCACTGAGGCCACCGCATGTCTTTTATAGGCATCAATGGCCCTTATTGCACTGCTTCCATTCTGCTGCACTGAGCTGGCACTCAGTAATCAAACAGGCCCAGCAAAGTGGAATTAATGTTTGCCCACATAACATGTCATGCATGCACAGGGGAAGCAAGGGTCCAAGTCTAAAATGTCTATTAAATGACTGAGGAGAGAAGAGCAAATAGTAGGTCTCTATTCTGGAAGATTCTGAAGTTTTTCTACAAGTCATTTCACTTGAGTAAACAAGACATTTCCAGTCTGACACAGCTGGCTGGTTTATGATCTGAGATCACTCCAAATGCAAGAGAACAGATTTCATTCTTATAGGTTGGATGCCAGCCCACGCTACAAGCTGGAAGCAATAATACTGCACTTGTCTCTAGTGCCTAAGGATCTCAGAGTAGCCGTTAATTATTTCCTAGCAGTTGTGCTCTCAACCTCTCTCCCCTTAGTGAGGGACATTGAAGCAGAGACAGAGGAGCTGTCTTTCCCAGAGTCGCATAGAAAACCTCTGGCAGGCTAAGGGATAGAGCCTAGAACTTTGTCCAGGACCCCACTTCCCTCCATGTGGTGGACCTGATCAGTCCTCCCTGGGAGCTAAGGTTACTGGGCAAGACACTGTTTCCCTTCCTAACCATCATCTCCCTGCCCAGTGGGCACTACTGTTGCTCTTCTGCAGGTCTGCACTTCTTTGTTAGCAGCCTAAGTTTGTTCTCCTTCCCTCAGGGCCTGCCTGGGCTGGGCACACATTGTTTTCAGTGCTAAGTTCATGGTGCTTGTTCTCCGTTCTGTTTTCATACAGGCTCTTACAGCACAACAAAATCCGGTTGATATCCACTCATGCGTTTGCAGGGCTTTCTGGATTGAAAATGCTGTGAGTGAAGTGTTTCATGTTACAGGGCACAGGGAAAG